ACACTCCAGGATTCCAGCAATGGAATGTTGCCACCAGCAGAGAAGGCCCTCCAACTTCAGTTAACGTAATCAAGGGAGTCCCTCACAGACATGCCCAGAGGCCCATATCCCAGGCAATTCCAGACTCTGTCAAGAGTAACACTTAACTCTGGCAATTAACACTTAACTATTGCAATCATCTCATTTGTTGTATGGGAAAGTTAGAATTTCCCAACCTAACCACAGAGGAATGCTCTCCATTGAGAGTCTCTGTGTGACATGAAAAGTAACCATCAAACCATCTGAACCGTGGGTCAGGAAGAACCTGCTAGGGATGGTGAGAAAGCATCCATAAGCCTTGTTGCATGGGGACACTTGTTTGGCGCATGGAGCATCAGATCCTCTGGTAGCCACCATAGCACTGCTGATGAAACGCCATGGGTCCTTCTCCTGAAGGCGCTTCCTCGTTTTAGATAAAGCAATGCTGAGCAAAAGGAAGAGGTCTGTCCTCTCCATCTGCTCCCTGAGAATACACACACACACATGCCTGTACATACCTAGAGATAAGCACGTTCCGTCATTCTATACCATTTTTCAACGATCAAAGGAAGTGACATGGATCATTCAGTAGTAAGGAAAACAGAGGCCCAAAATGCATGCATCATGGCCTTGATAGCCAAAGGATATGCCATTTCCTCCCAATGTAAAATTATCATGTCCCCCACCACCCTAGATTCTCAGGCAAGATTATAGCTCAGAAAATAACCCAGCAGAACCCCCTCCTCAGATGACTCTGGAAGCACTGGGGTTCCAGTGCAGAGCTATGGCTGGAATAAGCCCACGGGAATGTCACAGAACCAGCCTTTGCAGATGGCCAGGTGGCAGCCATGAATAGCTCTTCCTTCAAGAGCCTCCTGCCTCCTGCCTCTCCACCCACTTCCCCAGCTTGTCTTCTGTCAAGGGAAAGCCCAGAGCCCTGGGGAAGTATGGGGGTTTTGTACACTCTTTGTTATCTTGCCTTAGTCACTTTGTCTCTCTGCTGGAAAAGGCCGTGAAGGGAGCCACCTCTGGCTTGCCTGGGAAGCCAGCTGAGGGAAAGGTACAGTCAGCTTTTGAATGCCATTTGGCAGCTAGAAGCTGGGCCCTTTGCCTACTCCTCTATAGTAAACTTGGCTATCAGGGGAAACTCAGGAAGTGAGCAGAAAGTCAAAGGCTTTGTTTCATTACAGCAAAATCTTAACAATGCAATCACCTGGCAGAAAGAAATGCAAAGAGAGTTATTAATTATAATAAAGAAGTATGTTAAAACAAAAGATAGAAAAAAACACTATGCAAGTAAGGTTTAGGGGATTAAACTAAGACTTGGAGAATATACAATACCATATGTCGGAAAATTAAATATAATACATGAACTACTTGAAAACCTAACAAAAAAGCATACAAGAAAAAAAAGGCAAGCTCTCCACAGTCAAGAACTTGTCATTTTACTATTCTGAATTTGGTTCTTAGATACTCTCTCTAGACTGACTCCTCTGAAGGCATCCAGTGATCGTCAAATTCAAGAAGTACTAACTAGGAATCATAAGAAGTTAATGGCACAGCTTCTCCATCAGATTTGCCGTGTGTACAGGGTCTGAGGAATCCTGCCTCCATTTCCTCTATTGCTGGACACATTCTGGTTCTTGGTTTTTTTATGGTCTCTTCACCTGGAAGGAAAGGGAAAATTCAATCCTTTCCACTTGCCCTAAGGACCGCTATAGTGAGAAGCTTGCCTCAACCAGCCCAGGCATCTCAGACTGTGCTGTCTGAAGCTTTGCTGTAGCTGGTAGAGCACTGTGGTTAATATTCACCTACAGGACCTCCTGGGACTCCATAATGGGCTGTGCAAAAGAAAAAGCCTTCTTCCCTTTCCCCCACATCTCCTTTCCAACGCAGACACTTAACTTCTAGCAAATGAATCACATTATGAGCCAGCCACTCTGCCCCTGCTTAGGGCTGTCTGCCAAAGGTTGACTTGGAGTTACACATGAGATAAGCCTCCCAGCTGGTGTTAACCATTATCCCACTGTTGACCGTTCACTGCATCCTAGGTGTAAATGTTTAACAGAAGGGCTCATACATGCAAACACACACACACAAAGTGTTTCCGAGTACCGTGAGCTCTTCAGCCAGCTGATCAGTGAGAAAGGGAATGAATAAAGTGAGAGCAGAAATGATCTATTGTGAAAACCCTGGACAGAGGTTCTGTGAAAGCATTTGTACACTCTCATATGACTTAGATTTTGATGGGAGCTGGTAATCCCACATCTGCCATTGCAAACATTCTCCCACATCCCACCCTGACAGGACAGATGAATTACAGAGGCCAGTAAGCTCCTATGGCTGGTTACACATAAAGAATGCTTGTCCAACATTCCTCCTTATAGTTATTAGGAGGTGTTAGTTCTCTTGATCGACACTTCCGAGGTGGCTCAGTAGCAACTATCTTTATCTATCTCTGGAATCCCTTGGCCTAAGACCTTAAGGACATCCCTCCTTTAAAGGAGTCACAGCTGCTCAAACGTCATGAGTTATGGAGGAAAAGCCTAGACTCCCCCCCCCCAACTAATTAGAAAATCCATATATCAGGGTTTGGCTTATAGTTCTAATAACTCTTTATTTCAATGACTTTTCTGTGCTAACTCCGGTTATAAATATCGTCCTGAAAGTGTGCTGGCTGGGCTGGGACCTTATTAACTTGGGAGAGGTCAAGTCCTAAGTGAAGTCGTAGATCAGACAAGAGGTGGTGGTTTTTCCAGCACAGCGACCACCATCAAGGTTTTCGTGACTGGAGTTCCATTCTCAGGAAAAAGTTAAAAGGTGTTGAGCTAACTGGTCTCTAAGCCTCTCCTATCTCTTCTTCTGGTCCAGTTCCTCGCCCACTCTTGGATCTAGTGATAATAGGGAATAAAAAAGGAAGCTGTTCCTGGACATGGCAGTTCATGCCACTTAAAAGGCTGAGGCAGGAGGATTACCATCAGTTTAAGGCCAGCCTAAGCTAAAGAGTGAGACCCTATTTGAAATAAGAGAAAGAAAAAGAGAAGGGAGGAGGAGAGATGAAGACAAATTTCTCTATAATCTTGACATTAGAAAAATGGTATAAATTAACTTATTGTTGCGTGCTAATGGGCCCAAGTCTCTCTCTCTCTCTCTCTCTCTCTCTCTCTCTCTCTCTCTGCAGACTATATAATATGACATTATTCACTTAAAAGTTCATCAAGAGGGTGGGTCATGTCAAGTGTTTACCACAACAACACAGATGCTTTTGGAGGCAATGGTGTATTTTTGTGGTGACGGTGTCTCAAGTGTGTGAGCCTGTCTCCAAAGCCAACTGTATGTGCATGTTTCAGTTAGTGCCTCAGTGGTACTATTTTTACAAACATGGAAACTCCAGGATGTGTCGCTTCGTGGCAGGGAGTACTCTAATAGATGTAGTAAACAGTTTTATCGTTGTGCAGGCATCGACTGTGTTTATGCAAACCACGCTTGCTGTGACATCACTAAATGATGTCATCTTATAAGACTACTGGAATGAACACATGCTGGCATTGATGTGAATGTTCTTACTTAGAACTTCATTATGTCTGTGCTTGACAAAAACATACATTGTTTTTTGTTTGTTTGTTTGTTTGTTTGTTTTTTCAGAAACCAAGACATTTTTATTCTTTTAAAACCACTCTCCTAGATCACAACCATGTAAGGGAAGACCCAAAAGAACAGAATATTTAAGTTAGACACCAGACTAGCAACTAATAAAAACTCTGTAAAGATAGAAACACTATAGGTCTGTGTTGATGTAATAGCCACTAGCCACACTGAGCTCCAAGCACATAGAACTATTCCCGGTACCACTGAGGAACTGTGTTTTCGGTCTTGCCCTGTTTCACTTCAAATCGAGTCGTGATGCCATTGTAACATTTCTTTCAATGAACCCTCACTATGAGTTCTAAGGCAGAACTTAAAAATAAACTGTAGTGGGGCTGGGCATGGTTGTGCACTGAAGAGTCACAGAACTTGGGGGCTAGAATCATGTGTGAGCTCTGAGCCAGCCAGGGTGACACAGTGAGACCCTATCTCAGAAAAGAAAATAATTGGATGTTGTGTAGCTGTTTTCCAGTGACTATTAATATGAGCAGGTTTGGGGCTGGAAAGATGGCTCCATGGTTAAGAATACTGGCTATTCTTCCAGAGGATCAATGTTTAATTCTCAGTACTCATATGGTGGTTTGTAACCATCTATAACTTCAGTCCAAGGGGATCCAGCACCCTCTTTCCAGCCTTGAATATGTGTTTACGTAGAGTCTCTCTTTTTCCCCTCTGTCCCTCCTTCCTACCTTTCTTCCCCATCATTCCCTCTTTTCCCTCTCTCCTTCCCCATACACACACACACACACACACACACACACACACACACACACACACACA